GAATGACATCACTGTCTTAGTACTATGACACACCTTTTTATAGGCCATCAGATGAGACTGAACCAGCTGCTATTATTTTGCACTGACAAGGGGCAGCATTGCTAATTATTGATAGATTTCAGCTGGTGTCTTGGCTTTCCATTCACCTCCCTTTCTCCATGTGTTCAATACTTTTTCCCTCATAGCAATAGCACCTTTAAAATGTATTTACCTAGAAAAATGGGGACATGTTCAATACATATTTTATCCACTTTTTTTTTGCTTGCTTTTTTCTATTTTCCCTGATGATTTGGCCAGTGTTTTTCAAAAGAACAAGCACTCGAGCAGAATGGATCAGTTACAGGGAAGAGACGAATCGCATTTAACAGCGGCAGGGGTGCTTACAATGATCAGTTTTATTTATGTAAAACCTTTATCCCAAAAGATAAAAAAAAATTATCGGAACTACTTTTAAATTAGTAGCTCAAGTCTGGTTTGTCAGTGTAGTTAAATTTGATAGTACATCTAACACATCCCTCACCTTAGACTTACAATGCTGCTGTTCCAAATTGGCCCCTGTGCTCACTGTTCCAGAATGGGGGCAGTGTGGTACTGGCCAGAACATCAAGTGAAAACAGAAGAAAAGCATAAGAAACCGGATTCAGCCACCACATCTAATGATTGACAAACTAAAATATTATATTTTTGGGTTTAATACTGGTTTAAACATTTGGTTGACTAGTAAATAAAAAAGAATTCAATACTTAAAAGGCTAAGTTTACCTTTTGTTTAAAAAAAAAAAAAAAAAAAAAGTTTGCAGGTTAAAAAAAATGTACATTTATTTTTTTACACTGCAACCTGCAATTCACTGTACCTGCAGCCACGTGGTACAAACTATGCAGAGCCATACAAAGCAGTGTGCAGGAGCTGACAGGGGAGAGATCTGTGTTTATACACAGGTCTCACCCCGTCAGAGATACTCCGCGATCAGCAGGTGTCGGTGAGAAATCACCTGCCAGGACCTGGTGATTGACAGCCAAGGTGGCAAATGCCAGCACGGCCCCCTACCCGAAACTGCAAAATCACATATATAGGACGTGATTTTGCACACCCATGCCGCCCCCCCCCCCGTAGCAGTATTTCTGCTATAGGGTGGCGCGGAAGCGGTTAATTTTAGGTATTCAAGGTTTATCGTAATGTCATGGCTACTGCTGCAGCCTGAGCTTGGTGTGGATTTTTGGAGTCTAAGATGAGCTTTCATGTAAAAGTAATCCAGGTGGCTCAACAACCACCCAAGTTTCTGGGTCTCTAAAGTTGCAACCCTCCTCCTCCTGTTCGATGAAGCTCAGATTTTCCTGTTCCTCTGGGAACCATGGTAAGATGCTCAGACTTAATGAAGAGATTATCACTCCCATGACTAAGGAATCTGGAAGCAATGTGTATTACTTCCCTTCTGGGTTCACAGCGCTCATTCCCTGGCTACTGTAGCAAAAGTAGCAACCATTCAAGCACAATCTGTGCTTGATCAGTTGCAGTGGAGGGCAGGGGCGACATTGGGGGTCAGACTCCTACAGTGTCACTTGCCCATGCTATCACATGGGGGGGGTGTTATGCATGGTGAATTTTGAGGCTTGACAGTTTTGGTATATACACTATATTGCCAAAAGTATGGAACATCTGAATCCAATGATTGGGGGGGGGGTTCAAATCACCTCCATGGCTACAGGTGTATAAAATCAAGCACCTAGGCATGCAGACTGCTTCTACAAACATTTGTGAAAGAATAGGCCGCTCTCAGGAGCTAAGTGAATACAAGCTTGGTATAGCCTTCCCAGAAGAGTTGTTGTGGCTACTAAATATTCCACTGTGAGCGGTATTTATAACAAAGTGGAAGCAACTGGGAACAGCAGCAACTCAGCCATGAAAGGGTAGGTCACATAAAATGACAGAGCGGGGTCAGTACATGCTGAAGCGCACAGAAGTCACCAACTGTCTGCAGAGTCCATACCTAAATACCTCCAAAACTTTATGTGGCCTGCAGATAAGAGCAACAAGGGTGCTTAGAGCTTCATGGAATGGTTTCCTTGGCGAAGCAGCAGCATCCAAGCCTTACATCACCAAGGGCAATGAAAGCATCGGATGCAGTGCTGTAAGCTCACTACCACGGGACTCTAGAGCAATGGAGATGTGTTCTCTGAAGTGACGAATCACGCTTCTCTGTCTGGCAATTTGATGGACATGTCTGGGTTTGGCGATTGCCAAGAGAACAGTACTTACCTGACTGCATTGTGCCAAGTGTAAAGTTTGGTGGAGGGGGATTATGGTGTAGGGTTGTTTATCAGGGGTTGGGCTTGGCCCCTTAGTTCCAGTGAAGGGAACTCTTAAGGCGTCAGCATACCAAGACATTTTAGACAATTTCATGCTCCCAACTTCGTGGGAACAGTTTGGCGATGGACCCTTCCTGCTCAAACATGACTGCGCACCAGTGCGCAAAGCAAGGTCCAGAAAGACATGGATGAGCAAATTTGGGGTGGGGGAACTTGAGTGGCCTGCAGAGTCCTGACCTCAACCCGATAGAACACCTTTGGGATGAATTAAAGTGGAGACTGTGAGCCAGGCCGTCTCGTTCGACATCAGTGCCTGACCTCACAAATGTGCTTCTGGAAGAATGGTCACACATTCCCATAGACACCCTCCTAAACCTTGTGGACAGCTTTCCCAGAAGAGTTGAAGCTGTTATAGCTGCAAAGGGCGGGCCAACTCAATATTGAACCCTACGGACTAACACTGGGATGCCATTAAAGGTCATGTGCGTGTAAGGGCAGGAATCCCAATACTTCTGGGAATATAATGTATATACCACTATATCGGCGGAAGGCATTTTAAATTGTGTAGTTCTTTTGCAAGTTTATATTCTCAGTCTGATTTGTCACTATGCTCATGAGAAAAAAGTTTTATAGTACAGGCAATAAGGGACTACGATATTTCTGGTGCTAAATCTTTTACATTAAACTGCAACGTTACCCCTTTTAATATTTAAAGGATGACTGTAAAATGTGCTTTTCCCCCATTGTCCATTATTAACCACTTGTCTACCTGGGCATTTTGTAAATCTGCATTTTTTTAAACCCCAGTTATACATTTTCTGAAAGCAGAGACTATGGAGAATAAAATGGTGGCGGTTACTATTTTTTTGTCATCACATATTAGACAGCTGTTTATCAAATGCATATTCTTAGGAAAAATACACGAAAATGATTGTGCAAATAAACCCTATACCCTATTTTTGGTAAAAATATAAAAGACAGGGTTGCATCAAGTACATAAACTATATTCTTCAAAATCAATATATAAACCGTATATTCACCATGCAAATGTGATGTGAATATATATAAACCCCTGAAAGTTCACAATAAAATCACTCACCTAAAAAAATAAATTAGTACATAAAATGTGTTAAGCATGCAGCTGCCCTAATAATGAATAATCCAATAATCACCTCATGAAACAATGACAAAAGCAGCGCAAAAAAAATAAAAATGATAAAAACACAATAGCAAAGTGAAAATGACAAAATGCAGCACATCAATAAATATAAACAAATATTTAAATCATTTCACATAAGTCCATCAATTGAAAAACGAAAATTGAGATGACGTACAAAGTCCTTATTGATCCACCAAGATCACCATGTGAACAACAGAACGATAATTTGGTTGAATAAAATGCACTCAAATATCACCACGTGCCTCCCCTAATTCAGTGGCACTCACCAGATATTGTGGCCCATCCAAACCTGATAGGCAATAGCACTCGAGGTGAGTGTCAGTGTAGTACAGATCAATCAACAAGTCCTTCATCAATTAGAGACTGAAATGATGGTGGGACATCCTCCAAACTATTACAATCCGTAATCAGGGAAAGATGTGAAAGGAAACTCATAGCGTGAATCCATTAAAAACCATTTATTGAATAGAAAGTATTGCAGAGGTTTTCCCCTGGAGCACGTGGTAATATTTGACTGCATTTTATTCAACCAATTATCATTAAGTTGTTCACGTGGTGATCTTGGTGGATCAATAAGGACTTTGTACTTCATCACAATTTTCATTTTTCAGTTGGAGTTATGTCATATGATTTAAATATTTGTGTATATTTATTGAAGTGTTATATTTTGTGTCATATTTTCACTTTGCCACTTGTGTTTTTATAATAATTTTTTTTTTCAGGCTGCTTTTATTTGTCATTGTTACATACACTATATTGCCGAAAATATTGGGATGCCTGCCTTTATACACACATGAACTTTAATGCATCCTAGTCTTAGTCCGTAGGGTTCAATATTGAGTTGGCCCACCCTTTGCAGCTATAACAGCTTCAACTCTTCTGGGAACGCTGCCACAAGGTTTAGGAGCATCTCTATGGGAATGTTTGACCATTCTTCCAGAACCACATTTGTGAGGTCAGGCAATGATGGCAGACAAGAAGGCCTGGCTCACAGTCTCCACTCCAATTCATCCCAAAGGTGTTCTATCTGGTTGAGGTCAGGACTCTGTGCAGGCCAGTCAAGTTCCTCCACCCCAAACTCCTCATCCATGTCTTTATGTACCTTGCTTTGTGCACTGGTGTGCAGTCATGTTGGAACAGAAAGGGGCCATCCCCAAACTGTTCCCACAAAGTTGGGAGCATGAAATTGTCCAAAATATCTTGGTATGCTGACGCATTAAGCATTCCCTTCACTGGAACTAAGGGGCCAAGCCCAACCCCTGAAAAGCAACCCCACACCATAATCCCTTCCTCCACCAATCTTTACACTGGGCACAATGCAGTCAAGCAAGTACCGTTCTCCTGGCAACCATCAAACCCAGACATGTCCATCGGATTGCCAGACAGAGAAGCACAATTCATCACTCCAGAGAACACGTCTCCACTGCTGTAAAGTCTAGTGGCGGCGTGCTTAACACCACTGCATCTGACACTTTGCAGTGCACTTGGTTTCCGTGGCTGATCAGCTGCATCCAAGCCTTACATCACCAATTCCATGAAGCTCTGTGCGAACTGTTGTGCTAATCTGAAGGTCACATGAATTTTGGAGGTTTTTAGCTATTGACTCTGCAGACAGTTGGCAACTTCTAAGCACTGAGCTTCAGCTTGCGCTCAACCCACTGTCATTTTACGTGGCCTACCACTTCGTGGCGGAGTTGCTGTTGTTCCCAGTTGCTTCCACTTTGTTATAATACCACTAACAATTGACTGTGGAATATTTAGTAGCAAGGAAATTTCACGGATGAACTTATTGCACAGGTGGCAACCTATCACGGTACTACCCTTGAATTCACTGAGCTCCTGAGAGCGACCCATTCTTTCACAAATGTTTGTAGAAGCAGTCTGCATGCCTAGGTGCTTGATTTTATACACCTGTGGCCATGGAGGTGATTGGAACACCTAAATTCAATGATTTGGAGGGGTGTCCCAATACTTTTGGCAATAATATAGTGTATATTACTGTTTTAGCACAGATTGCCCTTTACTGTATGTGTTCATGGCTACACAATGTGATACAGGAGCCATCACCACTTTTTTCTCATTTACATTTCCTACTCCCTCTTTGAAGGTCAATGTTCTACTTCCAAAAAGCAAAACAAAATATTAATAAACCCCCCTCCCCACCACCACCATTTGGTTCAATTACATTTAACACTTATGTCCATGGTAGGTTTCCAAAATGCAGTAATAGAAATCATGAAACACAACAAATTGACAAACCATCAGGAAACACAATAATTTTAAGAAGGCTCATTTATTAAACCTCTGTACACTGGGGGAGTACAGTGGGTTAATGAGAGATGGTCTTAGAAAACAGCATTGGCAATAAAACCAAAAAAATTGAAATCTTTATAAAAATATATTGAAGAGTGACAGACACTGAATTCAAGATTAATGTTGCCAGTTTCCACTAACACAATAAAAAGATTTCTTAAAAACATTGGATTACATGGCCCAGTTGAATAGCAAGAGAACAAAAATTAAAAAAAAAAGAAACCTACACTACCTGAAAAATAACCACTTGTTAAAGACCAATAAGAACAATTCTTATATTTATCAAATACAGTAGAATAATGTTCTCTTAAATATTTTAACTTGCTTAAGCCAATATTCTTTTGGGGCACAAAACTCACAAACTGTACAGAATTTTACATCAAAACCAAAAACACCATCATTAGTTTCAAGTTCCGTAAACACTGCCTAATATAGAATGGACTTATAGTCTATGCATCAAGTCCATAAAAAAGTCTTGGAAAAAAAAAATAGCCTGCCCTATTACTCGAATGCCTATAACCTTTTAAGGCTGGAAAGCTTTATACGGCATATTATCGGTCTGACAGTCCCCACATTGGAACAAAGCTATATTTTCCCAAACGTTTCCTCAAGTACCACAGACTCTGCCCTTAAAAAGGGACACAAAGATCTGTGATAGTTATGCTCGCGCACACAGGCTTTTGCCAGCCCCAACTAGCCTTTAGTATACTCAAAATTCAACAGTCTATTCTGTATGAAGCCTTAAATTGACACATGAAGGAACCTCTATTTCTGCTTGAAATCAATGGTGGTGCACCATCAGCCAATAACTGCTGTCAAAGTTGGCCTATGACTGAGTGTAAAAGCAATCCAACAATCCTTTAATAGTAAGTTGTTTAAAGAACCACAACATCACCTGTGACTATATTAAAGGATAAACACTGGCTTCCAGAAAAGGTAAAGGAAGGCAAGCATGCCAAGACTGCAGTTTTCCGAATACTAAGCTCCTATTGGACCAATATTACCTTAAGCAGGAATTTACCGCCTTTTATTGGACGCATAGTGCTCTACAGAATATGCTGTGCGGAACTTTTTTTATGCACTTCTGAAATGGCGTGATTCTTGGTGAAAATGAGTTTAATTGGCTTACCTTTGTTACTCATGTCACTGTGGGAAACCCACATCACAAAATGTATATAGGGTCATCTGTACTGCACTTCTGGACATAAACCATTTCTTTTTCCCAAAAACATAACACATAAGCAATGGTTTACAGAATTTGAAACCAATTTCCATCTGCAGTAATAAAGTAGAAATTGGACTCTTCCACCTGTGTGTGATGTCCAGCTATCTAGTTTTAGCTCTGCAGTCTTAGAGTGCTCCTCTGGTCCTAACAACTGGAACACACCAATGACAGATGAGCAAATACATATATTTATATAGACAGGATTTCATTCAGGAGTTATAAAACCATTTAGAAGATGTTTCCCCCAAAATCAGGTCTGTTTGAAACCTAAACAGCAAGACAAACTCCAAAAATGTACACCTCAAAACGACAGTCATCTTTTAAAAGAAAAATACTTGGATGTTTTTTCAATATAAAACAGAAATGTAGCTGCTTTGCTGTTTGTACTTTACATAAAATGATGGCCTCCTGCCTTTTTCATAGGAAATGCTGAAAAACTGTATTTGCATTATATATCATTTATGCAAACAAAACCTACTGCTCAATGCAAGTGATACTGTGTCTTTATCTTTTCTTGGATGCAAGTCAATACTTCTAACAAAGCCAACTAATGGCGCCCAATAAAGCTCAATGTTAAAAATGCACATGTATTCTTTCATATCAATCACTTTACACAAAGTATTTTCTCAGGCAGTTTGGTTGTGTAGAGAGGGAATTTCAAATATTTCTTAAATATTAAAAAAATTAAAAATATTAATAGTTCTAGTGTACACGGTTGTCGTTACTTTCTTCTTTGCTGGTTTCGGGGGGAATTTTTTAACACATCTCTGAGCCGAAGGTATGTGCCAGTAGCCTCTGACATGTTGTCATACTCAAATGGTGTGATTCCCTCCGCAAACTTACTCCTGTCTGGAATACCAGGTTTAAAAGGAGATGGTGCACATGCTGCCTCTTCTGCAGCATCTCCATCATCTTCTCCTGTCTCCTTAAGTCCTACAGCAGTTCCATTAGGCTTCGCAGCATTTTCTGCCACAGTGGCATCACCGTCTTTTTCATTCAATGATACATTACCTGTGGGAATTAAAGTTGAGTTATCAGGCTCATGTCCAGCTGCTTCAAGGAATGCATCAGGTGGTGTTGACTTTTCTACAATTTTTTGACTAATATTTTTTCCTGTGGCACTTTCTGTTTCAGTCCTACTTGGTGATGAGGCAACAGAATTGCCATTTAATGGTGTATTTACATCTGATTCACTATTTGTGCTCTCCGTGTTTTCAAGAGCAGCCCAAATCAAACGCTGCTGTTCTTCTAACTCTTCCAAAGTCAGGGTGTCTTCATCCATGCCATCAGCCGCCTGTGCCTTAAGATTAGCTCTAGAAGGAAGCAATGGAGAGCCCCTATTAGGAGTAGGAGGTGGTGTTCCTTTTGGAAGTGGAGGAGGAGTTGGTGTTGGTGGGGGTGGTGGGATGAAATTTTTAGGGGTTGAGGGTGGAGTTCCACGAGGCATTGAAGGTGGGGAACAATATGGAGGGAGAGGTGGTTGAAAACTGAAACCCGTGGGCAAATAACCGGAATCTAAAATCAGAAGAAAAAAAAAAAAAAAAAGCATTTTAACATTACTGTGCAGTATCTGATACCCAGCTTTAGTGGTTACATTACATGGTACATAAACGGTTTTTAACTTTGATCTCTGAACAGCTTAACATACTTCATTTAATATAATAACCTACATGCAATTCCCGTGTTAGGGCTTGTTTACACCTATGATTGGGAGGCGGTAAAACCCATTGGTTCAGCTGTGTTTTTACCACCCCTCAGCCACTCCCCTCTTGCGTCAGAGGCAGTGGCAGGGGTGTACACATAGAATTATACCTCTTGCTGTGGCAACCTTAAGTGAATGTGGCTGTACTGCAAATCAGTGCAGACAATGTGCGAGGTTGCAGTGCGGTTGTTTGGTATTTAGGGGGTTAAGGCAGGCAGTGAGGAGGCTATACAATGGCTCCTCACCACCCATCTAATACTCTCTAAAGAGTGATCTTCAGAGAGCAAAGCTAATGTAAAAACAAGGCCTTAAGGCATGTACATAGGTGAGACTATCCACAGAGAAAAAGGATTTAGATCTTCTGTGCCAATATCCTGCTCACATATAGGACCCCTATCTTTACGACACAAATCAGTTCATACTTTAAACTGTGACTGTGCTGGAAACTGTAATTCTGCAAAAGCACACACATAACTTGCCCACAATAGATAATCATGTCTGCAACAAAATTTAAAGGACAACATCTTAAACTAGAAAATCTACAATTTCTGGGGAAATTGTGTAAAGTGTTCTTGCAACCAACCGTAACCAAGTGATTGATGAAATGTAAGCAGTGCACATGGCAAGCCTGATAGACTGAGAAATGCATTTCAGCTTGTATTTTGCAGCTCACAGTTAGCCTCGCTGACTCAGCTGCCTGTGAGTCATGTTTGGTTGCTATAACAACTCACTCAGTCAGGAAGCTGACAGGGGCTGTTCTAAACACACTGCTCCAACTTGCCAACTTCACTGGCGATTGCCATCTTCAAACACTTGTTTTAAAAGTATAAAATGCCACAGTGAAGAGCTTGATATTGCAAGAATCACAAGAAACAGACCTAAATTTTGATGTATAGTATGTCTCTGAAATATTAAAAATGAAGGCACAGTCGCAGTTTAAAAATGTTCCTTAAAATTTCAGGTGGCTGTGAGTGAAGTTTCAATGAAAGTCAATGGGAGGGGTGAGTTGCAAACAAATGGTCATATTGTGAAAACTATCAGGAGTATGGCTTAGCCCTGAACATTTTTAGTGACAGCAGGGTTAGCTGAACGTTTTGATATAAGATTTGTGTAGGTGGGCTTGAAAATGAGGGAGTGATGACAGTTTACAAATCATGTCCTGATTTTTCCTTCCACACTGTAGCTTTGTCAGTTCTCACTCTAGTTGCGCCATTCATTCCTATGGGACAAATTTCACCACAAAAACGGCGATATTTCGTGAACCATTTGGCGAAACGTTCCACAAAGTAATAGCACACCAATCGGGAACAATCCGCACGTTTCAGTATATTACTTGTCTATGTAGTGTAAAAACTGTGGGAGGAGTTAGGGTGGTAAAATTGGCTATAATAATAAGAATATATATGTGAGATAACAATAAGTGTTCCTGCTATGCAAGAACACTTACTAGGGACCAAGTGTATTAAATTACTGGGCAATTATTATGTATTAACTAAAGTCTATGATGAAACAGTCATAAAAGGTGTTTTAACTAAAAATTGAGTTTTGTGTTTTTTTAGTTGTTTGGGACAAGCCAGCCCCAAAATGAATGATTTCCTTTACTTATTGCTGTGAGCTTCGTATAAACTGTATGCAGCCTTATCCGCACACAGTATACAGAGCTGTGACCTGGCAACGGCACAGGGACTTCCATTTCCCAGAACAAAACCAGAGGTGATGTTGCTCAGCCATTCACAGAAAGTTTTAGTTCATCAATGAATACAAGGCTTCCACTGATTGGCTGAGGTAGAGAAGCAGGCAGATATCTCAATGAAACAGAGAAAGCCTATACTTGACTCACAAACTGCCTGAAGAAATGGATCTCATCCTCATCTACAACATACACTCAATGAGCTTAAATTTAGTCTACAGAGGGAGGAGTTAACTTATAAACATGGGGGATGCCCTACAATTTTTAACAAAAACCAAACATAGTTCCTGTGGCTGGACTCCAATGAATCAACGCATTATTCATTGTCCCTAGAAGTTGATGTGGGGAGCTAGGTGGTTGCTCTGCCACTGGGGTAGGAAGTTTTAGGTCATGTCTGCTAAAGGTACACTTGTGTGAACCTCTTAAGTGGAATATTGATGGGTGCTCGAGTGGTACTGTTCACTGTGAGATAATTATGGTTTTAACCGCTTAAGGAGTGCCCTATAGCAGATATACTTTCTACAGGGCGGCACCTGTGCACAGGATCACACACACACACACACACACACACACACACACACACACACACACAAATATATATATATATACATATATACATATATATATATATATATATATATATATATATACATACAAATGATTTTGCATTTCCGGGTACGTGGGGGCGAAGCTACCAGAAAGGATATAAGTGTATTAACCAGTTCGGCTCCAGAGCAATTTTTTTCATTTTTCGCATACATGTAAAAATCTTTATTTTTGGCAATAAATTACTTAAGCCCCCAGAACAACAGAGGTCCTGTAGAATAAAAAAAAATGATAGTTGCAAATTTTTATGTCCCATATTTTGCAAAACTATTTATTAAATGCAAATTCCCAGGAAAAAAAATAAAGAAGTTTACTGCAAAAAAAAAACCCATTTTTGGTTAAAAATATAAAATATGAGGTTGCATCAAGTCTGCGATATTGCCAAAGACTATGGCACCCAAAAATCATCATAGGTGATGCTTTAAAAGCCTTTACAACTCATCAGAGTTAACTAGGAGCTCTTGTGCTAGAATTATTCTTCTCACTCGGACGTTTGTGGTGATATAGTCACATGTGTGGTGTGACCACGGTTTACACAAGTGTGCATGTCCTTGGCTTTTGTTTGCAGTGACTACTGCAGCCATCAGCTTGTGAATACAGGTTCACTCTTTGGACTTGCGTCTAAAGAGATGATTTGGTTAATAAGCTTTGCCTCACCTCACAGTAGTTCTGGTAGGAATTTGTTGAAAATTGGCATAAATTGTGGTCTGAACATGGGCTGTTGATCTTTGACAGTGTTGTCAAGGTGGAGAGTGAAGGTGTATAAAGAAGTGATTTTTTTGTACAGATTATAAAACCTTCTAATATATATATTTATTTTTTAATGCATTTAGGTGATGTGCATGGCATATATAGGATTAATCTACATACCAAATTGGTACCACTGGCGTAAGGCAGAAACATTAAAGCACTGCATGCTTTCCTATCAGCAGTTTGTGAATTTCATGGCCGTATTCAGCTGATCAATCTATGTAGATCTGTCAATGTGGGGCGAAGTGGTGATCCGCTGTGTTGTGGCTCAGCCCAAGGCATTGTATGTTGTGTTTCAATAAAGGACATGCCGTCTTGTTGTGTGCACACATTATGTGGTATGCACTGCACCCCTTGTCCAGGGTCTTTTTACATCTACAACTAGCACTGTCATCTTTCCTCTAGCGGCTGGAATGCACATCCTTGATATTCTTATGGTTCTGAAAATGGCATCTACCATTTAACCGGAAGGGATGTCAGTGACCAACGCATGGAGCGCACAGCTGCGACACTTCCAGGTTGCGGTTGGCATGTGTTCCATGGCATATCGCCTATTTTGGACACAATAGGTTACCTCAAACTAGAGGCAGCCGGCACGAACTGCAGTGGTGTCTGGCATCATTTTTACATGTGGACCATCTCCGCTTGATTGTGCCCCTATGCTCAGTGGTATTTATTGGCATGTGAATATGCACATTCACTGGCTCCTTTTTTATGGTGTTATTCAACTATTAAGAATTTTTAATATCTGATATGGATTTGCGATGATGATGAATTCTATTCTGTGTTTGGACACATTTTTATATATATTTTTACTTATTGATGTATTTATTTAACCATTTCATTGCATTTGTAAGTCACGCTCCCATAGAAGGTTATCATGTGATCCTTTCAGTCTATATATGCTTGAGTTGTGCAGTATCCAAAACTGGCTCTGAGGAAGAGGGGATCATCCCTCGAAATGCATCAGCCAATTGGCCAGTCTTCTCGCAGTTGAGACTTGTCTTGGGGACCAGGCTGCTTCAAGTACACTGTGGCTTGATTAGCATTTTATCTGATATTGCTTGTGAGTATACATCTACTCTTTATATTATATTAAAAGTGTTACTGAGGTAATCAGCTAGGCTAATGTGCCCTCTGTTCCCAGTTTTTTTTTGTAGTCATACTTCTGAGTTTCCCCCAACCCGTTGCAGGGCAGCAAAGCATAGCATAGCAATCTGAAGTTACTGAATTATTTGCCAATACATGTGTCGGTACACTTCGAGAACAGGAGATTTTTTTTTCTTTTTAGGTCTGTTCCAAGCCTGAGAGCTGATCGTGCAGTCCAGATCAGGCTGCAGAAAAAATAGAAGAGAAAAAAAAAAAAAAAAAAGGAGGATGTGTCCTGTTTTATTATAGGACGGTTATTATTGTCATTAATATGTTCTGTAGGATGACATGCCTCTATGGTGAAAAAAAAAACTGGTCATTTTATTTAGCCCTGGATATTGGAGGTTCCCTAAATGTAGCTGAACTATCTTTGGAAGTCTCCTAAGGACCAACATCTCCCCACAAGGTCTAACGAGTAGGTTCTTGTGTGAACTCACATAATCATGTCGTTACTGCCTTTATTATGGATATATACTTTCATATGTTATTCCATCCTTCTTTAAGTTTTGTTACTGGATAGCTATTGCAAAGTGTTTTTGTCGTTTATATAAAGCTCGCTCGTTCTAGCCTGTGGGTCGCCCCTTGCCTATGCTACATTTACTAACCCTGTTATTCCCAGGTGAGTTGTGTTTTTTTGGCGATTGTGCCCCTGGAACAGTGTCTAAATTCCAGATAAGGGCATAGATTTAAATCTAAGCTGACCCTTAGGGAAGCCCTTGCAGGGTGAACGGTGTAGGGGCCCTCCCTGAGGGATTTGGGAGCCCATCCCATTGTCTATTGCCCACCTGTCTGTGCAAAACTAGGACTTCCTGGGGGGGGGCTGAACCCAGAAAAGAGCGGTCACCCTACTGAAAGGAGTGTCTGCCTAAGCCAGAACCTCCAGTAGCTGACAAGGGTCTCAATACAAGCTGTGTGGGCAGATACAGTGAGTATAGAAAAAAATGACCCTCCTTTGAAATAATCACATTTTGTTGCTTTGGAGCCTGAAATGAAGACATACACAGTTTTTGGTTTTATCCAGCTGTATTTACTCAGTGCAACTTATAATATCAAAGTGAAAGATATAACTCCAACATGTCTGAAAAACATATATAAAAAAATTAAAAAAACAAATCACTGAGATGGACAAAGGATCACTCCATTGTGTCGGTATTTTGTTGAACAACCTTTTACTTTAATTAAAGCCTTTAGTCTGTCGGGATATGTCTCTACTAACTTTGCAATATTTACCCACTATTCTTTGCAGAACTGTTCAAGTGCAGTTAAATTTGATGGTGACTGTTTGTGAACTGCAGTCTTCAAGTCATTCCACAGAATTTCAATAGGGCTCAAGTCTGAGCTCTGACTAGGCCATGCAAGCACATTCACCTTTTTTCTCCTTCAGCCACTCTGTGGTAATTTTTGCCATGTGCTTTGGGTCATTGTCATGTTGGAAGGTAAGCCTTCTTCCCAATGAAGACTTTCTGGCAGAGGGCAGCAGATTTTTCTCAAGAATTTGTCGGTATTTTGCCCCATCCATTTTTTCTTCTATCCTGAAAAGTGATCCAGTCCCTGCTGCAGAGAAACAGCCCCATGCTTTACTGTAGGAATTCTGTTATTTGGATGGTGAGCTGTATTGGATTCCCACCAGAAATATCATTTAGTGTTGAGGCCAAATAATTAATTTTTTGTCTCATCTGACCATAACACCCTTCAAGGTGTGTTTTGGCAAAGATCGGTCGTGACTGCATGTGGCCTCTCTTTTCATGCAATCCTCCCCCATACAAGCCACATTTGTGGAGAATTTGTGATATTGTTGTCACATGCTCACAATCACCACTCTTTGCCATAAATTCCTGCAACTGCTACAGAGTTGCTGTAGGCCTCTTGGTAGCCTCTCTGACCAGTTTCTTCCTCACTCTTTCATCCAGTTTGGAAGGACGTCCTGATCCAGGGAGGATCTCTGTTGTACCAAATACCTTCTACTTCTTAATAGACTTCACTGTGCTTCTAGGCATTGATAAAGCCTTTGAAATATTTTTGTATCCATCTCCTGCCTTGTGCTTGTCCACAACTTTATCCCGGAGATCTTTTGACAGTGCTCTGCCACCCATAGATGATTGTTTGCTTCAGATGCATTACCAGGGGCTGAAATGCTCCAGGAAAGCTTTATTCATACTGAGCTACTCAAAATTATTGAAAGTCAAATGGCTGTGTGCCATCGAGAAGGCGATTAGCTATACCTGATTGAGTTTCCAAGTCATCTTTAGGAGGTAGTAATCCTTTTTCCAACTCAGTAATTCTGTTTTTGATCCCACTCCCCACCCCTTACTCCCGACATTTGATCCCCTTGGATGTTATAAGTTGAGTAAATACAGCTGAATAAAACAAAAATGGTGTGTCTTCATTTCAGGCTGAAAAGCAACAAAATGTAATTTTAAACGGGAGGGGGGATTATTTTCCATACCCACCGAACACCTACAAGTGCAGGGAGGTAGATTACAAGTTACCATGCCAAAAATCTGTGACAAAATGGTACAGAATGCCCCCACAGAAACCAGACCACCCCTTTTGAGCTCCTCCACCACTACTGTACTACCACAATAAAAAACTGCCCAGAAAAGACCAAAAACACAAAACGCTCGAGGGAGTCCACTGAAGATATGCAACTTTCTTCAAGCCTTAAAAATAGCACTGCCATCCAAGTTGGGTGAAAAACAAATCATAATGACTGACAAAATGCTAAAAACTTTAAAGAATTTGCTGGCAGGCTTCAGCAAACTTTGGCAGTACTTCCAACTTGTTGAAAGCCTTTCTGGAGCTTGTTTAAAATGCAACACACCCATTATTTGCCTTCTAAACAGATGAAAGGCTTCACAAATTTGTCATTTTTGCAGAGAATCATCTCTTCTCCGGTCTAATTTTTGTACATATTCACCTGATTGAGGACTTTCCTCACAGGGTTATAAAGGACTACATAGTTACCATATATTCGCTTACCTGACTCCATCTCCATATCCAAAGGTGACTCTTTGCTTCTGGAAGTCTTCTGTCTTTTACTTTCTGAATCTGAAGCAGACAAAGATCTCTTCTGGCTGGTATTGTGGCTTGGCTGTGAAAACCCAAATTAAGCAAATACATATTACAATGCAGGAAATGTGTATTACTTGCAGCTTAAAAAAGATTAAAAATCAACTTTGACAGGGATTCCTTAGAACGTACACAGTAGAATCTCCAGCCATGTCTCCAGTATATCAGTTCCACAGTGCAATTTCAGTTTCCAGAAAGCATTACTAGGGAACTGGAAAATGTAAAAGGTCCCAAAATTTTTTTTAAAGCTGGAGCGGTCTCTTAGAGAACTTTGCAATTTTTGCCCACTACAAGCAATGTTACAAAAGAGTGTGAAACGCTAAAACCAAAACAAAAAAAATCTTTATATAAAAGGAGGTTTTTGCACAACTGTAACACTAAGGTTTAAAGTAATTACCCACAGTGTGTTAGAAATGTAAAAGGTCTCCAATTTGTTAAAGAAGGGTGTTAAAAAAAAAAAAAAAAAAAAAAAAGACTCAAAAGAGGGAAGAGCAAGTTACCTGCTCTCACTTGCTCGGTCCTTGCCTAGGAGAGGATGACATTGCCTTGTTCTCCCCCACACAGACCTTCAGCCTCCTGGGACATGTGACACATTCCAAGTGGCTGTAGGACCAGTTGCCCTCTACTGCACAATGGCAAGTTATCTATGATTCATCAGAAAGATGGCAGTACCAGGGATGCAGCAGCAGTGAGAAGAATCAGCTACAGGAAGAGACATTGTTGGACACCATGGGCTGGTAAAATTTTATTTATTTTTTTAAGTTACAGTATTTGTAGCAGCTGACTGTTAAAATTTGTAAATACTGAGTGAAGTTCCTCTTAAACAAGGAAAATAGGAAATTACCCCTATAGGAAAAGGCTTGATAATCTTGTATCAATTTAATTACAAAAGTAGTAACTACTTTAAAAAAAAAAAAAAAAAACTAAACAAATTCTTTGGTACTGGTTGACATGTGTAAATGCCAATATTTAAACAAAGCACTTACTTTTGGAAAGGTATGAGACAGATAGCGGGCAAAAACATCTTTCTGGTGTGATTGCTGCATTGGGATCGAACCAAAACTCCTCCAATCCTAATTTAAAAAAAAAAAAAAAAAAAAAAAAAAAAAAAAAAAAAAAAAAAACGCATTTATGACAGTGATATAGGTAGATTAAAAAAATTAATAAAAAAGGCCAGAAAACGAAGAATCCAGAAAAAAAAAAACAAACCATCATCATGCACGACTGAACATCTTTCTCTGTTATACTCTTCTTCCATTCTACCTCAGACCCACCCTCCCCTTTCAAATAGCCCTAATTGTATCCCCTTAACCATAGTTTATCCTATCCAATGCCTACATGCTTAATAGTTTAGATGAATAGGTTTTACAATAAAAAGGACCACAAAATACTTGGCATCAGATTAGTTAGACATCCAATTTTCAGTAGCGATTCAGACTCTAGTAAACTTACAGCTGGAAATATGACAGACACTCTTGATTAAATACGAAGTCCTAAGCAGTTGATGCTTATGCCTGCACATTCCCATGACTCCCTAAGATACTATAAAGCCACTTAGGCTGGCCATACATTATACAATTTTCTACCCAATTTCCTTTAGATTTACCTTCAACTGTTTAGTGCAAGGGCCTGCCTAATTGGATACAACTGAAAGTGTTGTTTAGGTTTGTCCTCCTATTATATGGTTTTTGGTAAATCTAAACCAAACACCTCTAGATAATTGTATAATATATGGCCAGCCTTAGGCTAGCCATTCATTATACAATTTTCTTGAGATTTTTGGTTTAGATTTACCAAAAACCATATAATATGAGGTCAAACCTAAACAACACTTTCAATTGTATTCAATGAGGCAGGCCCTTGCACAACATAGTTGAAAATAAATCTAAAGTGAATTGGGCAGAAATTGGACAGAAAAGTGTATAATGTATGGCCAGCCTTAGACTATATTGCCAAAAGTATTTGGACACCCCTCCAAATCATTGGATTCAGGTGTTCCAATCACCTCCATGGCCACAGGTGTATAAAATCAAGCACCTAGGCATGCAGACTGCTTCTACAAACACTTGTGAAAGAATGGATCACTCTCAGGAGCTCAGTGAATTCAAGCGTGGTACTGTGATAGGTTGTCAACTGTGCATTAAGTCCATCCATTAAATGTTCTTGCGACTAAATATTCCACAGTCAACTGTTAGTGGTATTATAACAAAGTGGAAGCAACTGGGAACAACAAATTAGCCACCAAGTGGTAGGCCACGTAGAATGACAGAGCGGGGTCAACGCAAGCTAAAGTGTACAGTGTGCAGAAGTCGCCAACTGTCTGCAGAGTCAAAAGCTAAAGACCTCCAAACTTTGTATGGCCTTCAGATTAGTACAACAGTGTGTAGAGCCTTGTGGAGGTCCATAATTTTGTCTCTGGTGTCTTTTGACAGCTCTTTGATCTTGCCCATTGTAGTAGTTGGCGTCTGACTGACTGTGGGGTGGACAGGTGTCTTTAAAGAGCTCAGACAGGTGCTACTAAGTTAGATTAATGAGTGGAGTAGAGGTGGACTTTTTAAAGGCACAGTAACAGGTCTTTCAAAGCCAGAATTCTTGCTGTTTCTTAGGTGTTCAAATACTTATGTTCAGCAGTGCAAGACAAATAAATTCTTTAAAAATCATACAATGTGATTTCCTGAATTTTTAAAAAAAATTCTGTCTCTCAGAGTGGGAATGCACCTACAATGTGAATTTCAGACCCCTCCATGATTTCTAAGTGGGAGAACTTGCAAAATCGCAGGGTGTTCAAATACTTCTATTCCTCAATGTAGGTGTGAATACCCATGTGATCTGCTTCTAGTGCAGACCCAAAAAAGGGTCCTGCACCTTTTTGGTGCAGTGCGATTAGAGCCATACAAAATGTATGGCTCCAATCGCACCGCACACAAATCGCATGTGATTTGCACAGGAATGCGGTACGGTTCCTGTGCGAATCACATGCGATATACCACACTGCATATATGTGAACCCAGGCTAAATGTCTCCTGGTGCCTGTAAGTGCAAATGTAATCTGAGCCGCGCATGCCCAGCTCAGGTTTACGGCACCTGCTCTGTGCCAAGGTGATGTAACGTCATCACAACCTGTCCATTCAAATGGACAAAAAGGACAGAACCCAAAAGGGCAAAGATAGAAACACTTGGGACCAGCGGGAGTAGTGAAAGGGCAACACTGGAGAGTTCAATTTGACAGGTAAGCCTGTCTAACGTGCCAGAATGTGGTGCATACTAGCACATTATGGCATAAACTTGCAGTGGGGCCACAGAAAGGAAATTTTGGGGGCATAGTTTAATATCATCTTAAAAACAACTCAACTGACTTGTGTACAAGCAAGTCAGGTTTTTCCTGAACAATCAGTGTCGATGACAGGCAACGCTGATTCTTGTATTCTGACCACAGAGAAGGCTCCCTGGTGTAAGAATACAATACCACAACAGGAAAGATTCCTCCATCCACCTCAAAATGTATGAATGGGGGAATCGGCTCTTTAAACGTGGGGGAAAAAAATAATAAATAATTTACGGCCAAGCCTAACATTTTATAAAATTTGCAACTTCATCGTGATCTGCTGACAAGCATCAATCACAAGGCTTAAAACTAAAGCTTGGTACACAGATTGAAATTCAGCAGGGACCAGTAATGTTTTGATCTGTACGCAGCTCTCCCAGCTCAATTGTTAGTCGAACATGACTGTTGGAAGACCTTGCTCAGTCAGCAGCTTGCAGTCACATTGGCTGCAGCACTGATCAGCATACAGTGTCAGAAAACAATGTCCTGGCAGGAGGATTCCTACATCCACATCACGCGTGTGGGTGAAGGAATATTCTTTTTTTTTTTTTTTAACCCGGCTTAAGGCATGCCAGAAAGTTACAGTAAACATGTCTCATAGGCCAAGTTTGGTGCAGATCACTTTACAGGATGCAAGTCTCATACACACTCACTACTGCAGGCACAATAGGAGGAATGGCTCCCATACTTGTCGAAACCTCGAAAGCACTGATATTTTGCCAACATACGGTGAAATTATGCTTAAAGAAACTCACATCTGCAACTCCGGACAGGGAAGGAGTATTAAAACCAGGAAAGCTGATTAATTTGGATACATCATAAGATAAAGACTTGCTTTGTGCCGCAGGATCTTCTTCAATCTCTCCATCACTTGTATCTACAAAGCAAATGAGGACTATTGAATTTCGAAACTCACGCACATTAAACAAAAGGTGTGTGTGTGTGTGTGTATAAACATGTTTCAGGAGCAGTATTACATATTGCTTATCTCATCTAATTTTTTTTTTTTAGACAAACGTACCTTTTCCATCATAAAGAGAGAGCCCAGAGTTCTCCAGTGAAGCATCTTTCAGCCATCCTGGAGGGTAGCCAAGTTGGCGCATTCGATATATAAATGGAGGAAGATGCTTATCCGATATTCCAAGTGCCTCTTGAAGCTCTGAGCTGTATGAAAAAAAAAAAAAAGAAAAAATCCCATTTTTTTGTTAAATTAAAAGTGGCCATATGGATTGGTCACATTAGTATAACAATCATATGTCTTAATGAAAATTAGAGCCACTATCAGGGATGTGCAGATCCTATCGCCCAACACTCGGGACACGTAGTTCCGGGCGCCAGGCAGGTTGTTTTTTCCCTTTCACTTAGCCGGGCGCACTCCGCCACGGTCCGATGTGATGCGAGGGCGCACTCCGCCACGGTCCGATGTGATGCGAGGGCGCACTCCGCCACGGTCCGATGTGATGCGAGGGCGCACTCCGCCACGGTCCGATGTGATGCGAGGGCGCACTCCGCCACGGTCCGATGTGATGCGAGGGCGCACTCCGCCACGGTCCGATGTGATGCGAGGGCGCACTCCGCCACGGTCCGATGTGATGCGAGGGCGCACTCCGCCACGGTCCGATGTGATGCGAGGGCGCACTCCGCCACAGTCATACATTACACTGTACATAGACCTGATTAAGATGTTCATTGTCCCAACAGTTGCTGGTATTAATGAAATTCTTCTTTGCAGTTGGCTTAGTAAGGCAGTCCATACATTAGTTATATTTTTCATTCAACAGCAGGTTGAACAAAAAAAATAAAAAATTATCCGACCCTGATGGATACTGGAGCTTGATTTCTCTGCTCATGCATCTGTGTGTGAGGAAAATTTACTCTCTCATCAGATGTGCCTCTGCTGGGCATTAAGAGAGACCGACAATCCCCTTTCCTGATGAGCACCCAATCAGTGCTCGTCACGCTGCAAGGTATCTCCTCTCCCTGCTAGTCCCCGGGTGCAGTGCTTGAGACAGGCAGGGAGGGCAGTAGGATATAAACAGTGCAATGTTAAAAATATTAAAAGTTAAGCTCGCTATAAAGCCTTTCATTTTTAAAAGCCCTAGACATTCCTAAAAGCAGCTCTGCCTAATTTAAAAAAAAAACACACAAAAACCAAACACATCACCCCTTTGTATTTTTCATCCTGGCAAAGCCATTTCAAGGTTTAAAAAAAAAGGAGCATACATCCTTGGAAAATCCCTAGTGATAAAACTGTGTTATTCAGTAGTATAACAAAGATCTTATTTAAGTGCTTCCCGACCGCCCTATAGCAGATATACTGCTACAGGGCAGCAGGGGTGCGCAAAATCACGTATACATACACGTGATTTTATATTTCCGGGTAGGGGGCGCGCACAAGCCCTACCTGCGCCACGATTTGCACTCACGGCTGTCAATCACTGGGTCCCAGCCAGTGATTACCCACCAGCGCCCAGTGATTACTGAGGATCTCCGACAGGGATGAGGGCTGCTTTGATTACTAACAGTCCTCCTCCCTGTCGGCTTGGGCACACTGGTTTGGATGCATAGCAGTGTGCTTACAGTGAAGCACCAACACAACGCCCCCCCACTAAAACACTCCCAGCACACAGTTAATCCTTTGCGCGCCCCTCATGTTAACCCCTTCCTGCCCAGTGCCATTAGTACAGTGTCAGTGCTTTTTTTTTTTTTTTCAGCACTCATTACTGCATTGTCAGTGACACTAAGTCAGTTCCCCCCCCAGTGTCAGAATGCCTGCCGCAGTCCCGCTATAAGTCGCTAATTGCCAGTATATATACACACACACCGCCATTTGTAAACGCTATAACTTTCATGTAAACCAATTTACACAAATTGGGATTTTTTTTTTTTTGAGCAAAGACATAGCAGAACACATTTTGGCCTAAATTTATAACGAAATTTGATTTAAATGTTTTTTACTTGACATGTTTAATAGCAAAAAGGCAAAAAAAATTCTCAAAATTGGCGGTTTTTTTTATAGCAAAAAAAAAAAAGCAAACAAAACAAAAAAAAGCTCAATTCATGAGAAAAAAAAAAAAAAAAAAAGACGTAAATTTCATTTGGGTGCCGTGTTGCATGACTGTGCAATTGTCAGTTAAAGTAACGCAGCGCTGTATCATAAAAAATGGCCTGGTCAGGAAGGAGTGTAAATCCTCAGGAGGGCAAGTGGTTAAATACAGTATTGGTTAAAATTATTTTTTTTTTTATAATTAGGGCAAGTAGATTGTCATGAGGGACAAGTAGATTTGGACCCCGATTTAGTCCTTGGACAAGTAGTTTTTTAAATAAATTTCACAACCCTGCACTATACCAGATTTCCAGCACAAATCTCACTGACATTTCTACACTCACTGTAACAGCATATCTATTTCTACACCTTTGCCAAAATTACCTATCCACAGAAAACCAATTTTTCAGAGCAGCTGATGTAACAAATTATGTACTGCTATTATCAAAAATAAGCATAAAAAAATAAAAAGTAAAGCTTTAACAAACCAACTTTAACCACTTGCTGTCCATATGTTACATATACACAGTGGAGAACTTCAAGTGGTTTAAAACCAAGCTCACAACTGCAGATGTGAGTTTGGCACCATTTTTTTAAAGCTGGCAATCTGCTTTCCAGTAAAAGGGATCTGAGTGGCTGTAGAGCATTTAATATGACTGCTGGAAGGGGAATGTGCAGGGATTGATTGACTATTAGGCCCAAACAATAGTGTATCAGGATTCACGAGGCTGTATCGGAACTCAAGAGGCCTGCAAGAGGATTTTAAAGTGCTGCCCATGGGCAACTTTGAGTATCATAGTTATTTGGCATTTCAAGGCAGTACAGTTTTAAAGCTTGAAATGTCTGGCACCTATTTTCTCAATGCAATATATGAGAATATATATATATATATGTATCTTTTTTTGCAGTAAGAATCATTTTCATTTTTGACCAAAATTATGCACTTGTTAAAAAGTTGCTCAAAACATCATGCAACATAAAAAAATTTAAACTACCACAGTTTTATTCTACAGGGCATCTGCTTTCAGTTTGGAGGTTTTAAATGAGTTTCTAGAAATAAAAAAAAAAAATCAGATTTTAACATGCAAAAAAAAAAAATACTGGACTTCAAGTGGTTAATAATTCACCTTATAACCCCAGGCTTGAACCCTGAAAATCTCTCATCTACTTCTTCAGCATGGTAGCGTTGTTGATAGTTCTGGTTACCAGCTTCTGCGCAGAGATCCATAAATTCTTTCCTCTTCATACTAATATGAACAAGATCTCGGGGCTGGGAAAAAAAAAAAAAAAATTCACATAAGTTACCTAGGTAAACATATGACTTAACAGTCTTTGTTGTACAATTTGGACCAGACACACCCTAGATCAGAAGTGGCTTGTGTAGTGTAGTGCTGAAACAACTAATCAACAATTAGTTGATAAAAATAGCTGTCAACTATCTTTATAAATCGATTAGTTGGCCAGCCAATTAGATGGCCTGCGTACAGAATGCATTATTTGTTTGCATATCAGAAAATACAGTGAGCACACACAGCTCAGTACACCGTCCATACATGTCAGCAAGTGCCTAAGAACTTGTGAATGTGTAAGGAGCAATGCTTCACGGGACATGCAGTCCTGGGCAGGAGAAGGAGATTTAAAGTGATTGTACCTTGCTATAGGGGCACTCTATACTGTACTTTGCGGCTTGCTATGGGATTTTGGTTGCAGCAAAGTGCCGTAACCCCGGTACAGTTTCTTTTAGCCAGCAATTCCTTCTACAAAAAGTGGTCCGAGTGGCAGATTCACCACTAGATGACTTTTAAAAGCGGCAGGAGGGCATGTCTATGACCCCCCCCCCCCCCCCCCCCCCGCTGCTTTATGGTGGTCTCAGGCTTACCTGGGTGATCGGGGAGCCCGAGAACCCATCTTACCATTGCAGTGGCTAACCACAGAGCTGAGTGAAGGCAAGATGGCCGCCACTCATCTCTATGCCCTTGGAGGGGACCTGACAACATTATACCACTCCTGGTTCCAGCTGAAAGTAAACCGGTTACATTTTTTTCTTTATTAAAGCACTAGATCAAAGCCTTTTTTGATCTAATGCTTTACATTGTAGAGGAGAGATGTGGTGTCTTATTGACCCCAGATCGCTCCATAAAGACGACCTGTCACTGCTTTTTTTCTATCACAAGGGATGTTCACATTCCTTGTGATGGGCATAAAAGTTTTTTTTTTTTTTTTTTTAAAGAAAAAAAATTTGGACAGTGTAAAAACAAAAATTTTTTTTTTTTTACAATGGTGAACACATACATAGGCCATGCCCACATATGTAAATTGTGTTCAAATCGCACATGTGAGGTTTGAACATCAGAGTGAGAGCAATAATTCCACCACTAGATCTCCACTGTAACTTTAAAATGGTAGCCTGTAGAAATTTTTAAAGCATCACCATGGAGATTTTTTAAGTACCATAGTTTGGCACCATTCCACGAGCATTCACAATTTTAAAGCACGACACGTTGGGTATTTACTCGGCGTAACAGGTTTCATATTTTACAAAAAAAAATTGAGACGTGGATTTTTTTCTATTCATTAAAGTGTATTTTTTTTCAAAAATTGTGGAGAAAGTAAAAAAAACCCTGTGCAAATACCGTGGGACATAATTGCTGCAACTGTTATTTTATTCCCTAGGGCATCTGCTACAAAATAAATAAAATTTAAAAAAAAAAAATTATATATATATACACATATATACATATACATATACACATATACACATATATATACACACATACACACACATACACACATACACACACATACACACACACACACACACATACATACACACACACACACACACACACACACACACACACATACATATATACACACACATACATATATACACACACATACATATATACACACACATACATATATACACACACATACATATATACACACACATACATATATACACACACACACATATATATACACACACACACACATATATATACACACACATATATATATATATATATATATATATATATATATGAGAAGTGTCAAAATTGGCCCGATAATGAAGTGGATGAAAAAAATCCAAAAGTTCACCATCACTATAATGGCTCTGTGCAGGGAAGATCAGCATCTGAACCCAGAAGGAGGTCACTATTAGAAATTCGAACGAATGTTCTTAAAACAAAAACTTTCAAACAAAAAAAAAAAATGGTTTGTGTATGGCCAGCACTTATGCTGGCAGCAAGCACAGGTAGCTTGTATCAAATTACCTGCCTACAGACCTGTGAGGCCATAGTGAGTTGGTTGCATTTTAGTTGTGTTTTGTTCTATTGAAAAACCAATAAAAAAGAAAAAAATTACCTGCCTATGACAAGGGAGTATTAATATTACAATCCGGTTTGAAAATCTGCAACATAGCGTTTGTCTTTTTAAATTTTATTTTTTTTCCCTAAATAAGAATTTTGATTACAGAGTGATATGTGTCTCTTTTCTGTCTGTTATTCTCAGAGTGGATTAGATATTTTGTTCCCAAACCATAAAGCTGGTTATTTATATTTACCATTGCATATAGATATTCAAAAACAAAATTACTTTACAAACTGTATTAACTAAATTATACACCAAACTTTGAGGGTTTTCAATCAATTCATCGAAGCAATCGGCCAACTAAACGATTATGAAAATATATTGTTAGTTGCACCCCTAGTGTAGTGGCAAAATGTGTTTGACAAATACCTATACATTTTTCCCTATGTAATGAATGTAAAAAAATGTACTGCACAAAGTTGAAACTAAAAATAACCTGTAAAAAATTTGCAGGGCCACTGCAAAGTTTGTAGTGGGAAGGGTGTGCCCATGTCAAGAGATTGAAGCAAGCTCCACAGGTAGTGGTGGGACAATACAGACAAAGCTAATGTCTCTCAAGTTTCAATCCAAATAGATTCATGTATATGTGTGTTCAGCACACTAGATGAAGACACCTTTCTTCCAAAGATATGGCCCCCATCATCAGACTACTATTTTGACTGCCAAAAAACCTGATAGTGAAAGAAGAGTGGAGAAATCAAGTTAATTTTACCCTTTGAGGCAAAAAAAAAAAAAAAAAAAAGTTTACCATGAGGTCTTCCCTCCCAAAGTTTGTGAATCTCTGGTCTAGCACCTCTCATTAACACAGGTGTTGCCACCAGGGTGGATAAAAATCAATGATTTTTTTTAAAAAACCAAAAAAATCTGATTTTTTTTTTATTTAAATCGGATTTTTTTGAATAAAATGCTTTTTGAGGAAAATATATTACCATCCAAAGGTTATTCCATCATGAAATAAAGATTCGTTTTTTAATTATGTAGAATAAGGCTGTATATGTTTAATTTTTTTGGTAAATAAATTCCATGAATCCATTCACAATGTCATGCTCTTCCAGAGGTTTTTGGAAGATTATTGGGCAGTTTCTCTGCCTACAAGATATTATCACAGATGCTTGGTTTACTTTGCAGTTCTCAAAACTGAATTTGACTCAGCGGAGATCACATGCCTCTTCTTCACAGCAAAAATGTTATAACATGAACAGAGTTAAGAAAAAGACCTTAATCCTAACTTCTACAAACCTATGAATACAGAATCAACCCCTTCAGTGCTAAGTTTCAAGAAGTTCAGTGAGTAAAATAGAAACAATATTTTTCTGATTGTTTGGAGTGGAATAGATCTGCACAAGAAGAACGTGAAACTAAGTGTGAGGAGGAAGGGGCTGACAGTCTAAGTTTCTTAACCACCTCCCGTCCGGCCGTTGTATATAAACGGGCCGGACGGTGGCACTGCAGGGTCGGGTGGCCGTCTATAAACGGCCTCCCCGCACCCTGCTTGTGCACGCTCCCTGGGAGCGCGCGCAGCACCGCGATCCGGTGCCCGCTGTGTCCTCCGGACACAGTGAAACACCGATCGGACGGGACCTCTGTACGAGGTCCCGATCATGTGATCACTGATTGGCCAATCAGTGATCACATGCAAAGTAGTAAGCAAGATGTCACTTCTGACATCATTGCTTACTACGTGTGAAATCTGTGAATGATCACAGAGGTCACATGGTACAAGGCTATTCACAAAAGCCTTGTACCATGTGACAAGCTGTGACCAATCACAGCTCACTCAGTACTTCTCAATGAGTGAGCCATGGTGACACTGTACTGCTAGGGTGACAGTATGTAAAAAAATAAAAATAAATAAATAATAAGAAAATAAAATAAAAATGTAAAAAAAAAAAAAAAGTTTAAAAATTATAATTTTTGCTTATATAAAACTAATTTGGATTTTTTTTTTTTTTTACTAAAAAGATAACGGAATAAATTTTGGCTAAGATTTATGATGAAATATAATTTATTTGCAAAATTTTATTAAAAAAAACACTTTTTTTCAAAATTTTTGGACATTTCATTTACATAGCAAAAAAAAAATACAAATCCCAGTGGTGAATAAATACCACCAAAATAAAGCTTTATCTGTCTCAAAAAAATTGTGAAAAATTCATTTGGGTACAGAGTTGCATGACCGCACAATTGTCATTCAAAGTGTGATAGCGCTAAAAGCTGAAAATTGCCCTGGTCAGGAAGGGGGTAAAAGTGTCCGGTCTGGAAATGGTTAAAATATATATATTTTGTTTAGCCAAATTAGTTAACAAACATGGATGTTTGTTTAAGCAAATAACATATGCTGTAATGTTATTGTTTCAGTTGAATAAATCTATTTAAATTGTTATTATTAAGGTAATGATTATTTTTCTCCTTCCTAAGTACAACAGAAAAGTTGTCCAAATATGAATGATTAACCTATTAAACTGGGGATAAAAAAAACTAATATGAAAAGTTGTTATTCTAAAAATCTTCATCTACTTGCATATTAAAGTTATACCAGCAAGAATTAGTCTATGTAGAAAACTAGGATTTAAATCAAGCCTTACTGACTAGTGATTTAAATCGTGATTTAAATCAGTTTGATTTAAATCAAATCCACCCTGGTTGCCACATTAGCAGAATATCCGCTAGACCTAGGTGTTCAATAAATTAGAAAAAAGGGACCCTCGAACTTCATATTCAACTGATCTCAAAAGTCCCAATTATGCAGATATATTAAGACCCAATTATTTTTTCCCTCCAAGTAGGATAGGCTAAGCTTTAGCTTCTGTTTACGTGTAGCTCAGAACCTTTACACTCTACAGTTGTATGGTGTTTTTATTCTATGTCCAATGTCACTCACCTATTAGATACCTATTCACAAAAAAAAGAAAGACCTAAGCTGTAGTTCAAGTTTTGCATTTGTTGGTACATGAACAAAAAGCAATAAAACCTAAAAACATAAATGGAACAAAGTCATATTTCAGTAACTATGTGCTTCAATTTGGAGCCAAGTAAGCAAAAAAAAAAAGAACAGTGCCAATGGTACCAATATGTGAAATGGCAACATGTAAAATAACCTGGTGGGTGCCCAACCTAATATGAGATATTAGTCTCCGTGACTCTGCTCTTCCTTGGTTCTCATCTTGCTCATCTCACCACATCTTCAGTGTCACTTACAATTCTACTTCCTCCTCTCTTTCTTTCTCAGCTGGGGTCCCCCAAAGTTCCATTCTGGGACCTCTCCTATTTTCGATCTGCAACCCCCTTCAGTCCATCATGAATGCTGCTGCTAGTTTCATCCACCTAACCCACAGTTCAGTGCAAACCCTGCATTGGCTGCCACTCAGCCAACAAAATAAAATCAAAATGCTAACTTACAAAGCCGTTCACAACTCAGCCCCCAGCTACATCACTAACTTAAGTCTCAAAATACCAACCAAATCACTCTCTTTATCAACCCCCCCCCACCCCCTCCATGACCTCCAGCTCACTAGTTCCCTTGCCACCCCCACCCATGCTTGCCTTCAGTACTTTTCCTGAGCCTCTCCCATCCCATGGAATTCCCTACCCCAAATTGTCTAACTCCTACTCGGCTTTTAGGCGATCCCTGTAAACATATCTCTTCAAAGAAGCCTCTCCTGCCTCCACTCAACAACTGTATATGTATTTTCTCCACTGGCTCATCCCCCATAGTTATTACCTTTTGTATCACTTGACCCTCCCCATTTTAGATTGTAAGCTCTAACGAGCAGGGCCCTTTGACGACTCCTATATTGAACTCTGTACTGTTTGTTCTCACGTTGTAAAGCGCTGCGCAAACTGTTGGCGATCTATTAATCCTGTCTATAAAGGGTTAGTGCTGTATTCTTTAAATAAAAATTATAAAAATGTGTGCGTGAGATCTATACAATATGTGAAATTGTCTGTGTAGTCTGTGCAAATACTCCTAAATAAATATTGTCTGAGATTAAATAAAAGGCTTAATTCATACAAAATCTTTAACACTAAACACCATGTGAATACAAAGATCCATGTTCAATCCAACCAGTCCCAATGTTGTGATACTAGTTTCAAATAAACCACCTTTTAAAACCTTTTGTTCTTCCACCAAACACCAACTGTGTGGTCCACCACCCAGAAGTATAAGACTCACCAGAGGTAGAAGCTGCCGGTTTAAAACCAGCACACAGTGCATTCCCCTTTGGGAGTAAATGCGCAGACCCGGCAAGATTCACTGTATATTTTTGCAATATTCATATGATATATTATAGCTTTCACCCATAAGTTTTATGAGGAATGTGTGGTTTCACAACATCTACTCATACTTAAAGCTTATATATATTTAGCCACAGCTAAAAGACTTACCTTTGGACAGTCCTTCATCTGATGTTCTACCGAGCCACAATTGAAACAGCAAGCTTTCGGCCTAATTAATCAATCAAGAGAAAGGTTCAGTTCAAAAACCAGGCACCAAACTGGCAAACCCCAAATCCACATGCACAGTCCATATTCCCATGTCACATTGGTAAAATCTTGTGGGTGAAAGATTGGTCTAATATTCAATTGATAATATCCTAAGCAGTTGGTCCCTTCATGGCCAAACAAGCAGCAATATTTCACTCAATTGCTGAGGCCCGATTAACAAGTAGGCACTAAATTCCCCAGCCTACTGAAAACAAATGCTAGTTTTTCAGAACTTGTGCACCACAAACGAAAGTGTTGTTTCCAAGACAAATTAGCACTAGGGTTCTCAGTTCAAATCCCAGTCAGAACATTATCTGCAAGGAGTTTGTATGCGTTTCTTTCAGATACTCCAGTTTACCTCCTGCACTCCAAGGCATGCTGGCAGGTTAACTAGCCCTAGTATGTGTGGTGCTCATGTATGCATATGCAAGAAGGACCTTAGACTATAAAGCTCCTTTTGAGCAGGCATGTAAAATACACAGTATGTACACATTGTGTAAATTGCAGGTAACGTAAATATGTGTATATTAAAAGGAAAAACATTTTTTTATTTTTGAACAGAAAGTAAAGGGATAGAACAGCTACCAAGTCATGTACTATTACTACAACCACTTGAAAGAAGAGCACTAAACTATGTCCAGTTTATAAGTGTTCCCTACCCCCCCCATGAACAAAATGTTTTTTCTAGAAGTATGTTATTTTCATTAACCTGATATAAGTTATAACATTGTTGGAACGTTACCTAGTTTTTTGTTTTCATCATCCATAACATCCCCTGTGGTGCACATCTTAGGCCACTGTACATAACAAGGCCGTTCACACCGCACCCCCCGCATGCAGTGTGCCTGTGGCTTCAGTGCAGGTTAGCTGCGCTTTCCCTTTTTCAGAAGGCGCACCAAAACTGTGGGACAGAATAGAAATCTATGGGGAAAGAACAACTAACTCACACGAAAACTGTGGGTACACTGTGCTGCGGCCAAAAAGCAGCAGCCCAGTGTAAAGCCGCCCCTTACACTTTCCTCTTGCTTCTCATATCACTAACCTTATGGGCCCAGGCAGACTTCTGTGGTCTGTTGCCCTAGGTTATAGTGTGCTGCAACGCATGAGAATCTGCATTTCATTAAGGCAGTCCATTCAATATGAATCGGCTGCCATTGCACTTCTATGGTCAACCATGGGATGTAGTGGGCTGACACACGTCGTTAAAAATGTGAGGTTGAGCCACATTTTTTACTGCCCCCAACTGCACCCCCTTGACCTACAAAAGCAGCAGAAAGGATGTACATATCCTGTGACCATGATGCTTTGCACAAGTAATTTTTCCCACTGTCAGAATAGACAAAAAACTACCTACTGAATGCAGCCCACTCAGCTGAATAAGGGTGCCCTGCAACTGCAGGCAATACATGTGGCTTGGGCAAGCTGGTGCAGGGTTTAAGGAGTTAAAATAGGGGGTGTGGAGGCAATAGAACACCTCCTTGACCACAAGTCAAATGTCCCGATGAGTGGTCCAACTCAGACTGCTTTTCAGAGGCAGAGAAAGTGTAAACAAGGCCGTAAAGCTGCCTTCTGTACACCACAGATCACGCTAAGATAGGGAAATGCAAGCAAAAGTTGTACTGCAGTGCAAGAAATATGGTGACAGAAGGGCCTATCAGTGTACTGCTTGGTTTCACTCTAAGTAAATACAGATCTAGTTTCTCTCCCAATCTGTGACTGCAAAGTATGTAAACCTCAAAGCAAAATATAAACATGATAAAAAAAGATCATGAAGTTTTGCCACAACGTTTACCTTCAATCCAAATATTTCCCTCACAGTACTCTTCCTGCTGCTAGACGACGACCTCAATCTAATGACCGGTATCATTCAACTCACTTCCAATTAACCCACCCTCAGCCTGTGACTGGAAAGTGAAAAGAGAAACAGGCATGATTTTTCATGGTGCTTCACTTTCTCTACACATCAGCATGCTCCTTGTCAGCAAATGAACAGATTGGCTACTTGTGCTGCTACTTCATCTGAGCTCTGCTGTATGGGACTGCAGGTAGTTGACACTAGGTCAAAATTCAGATACTTACACTGTACTTAAACATTTAAACTACAGTTAAATGATGTTCTAAAAAGTATGGCCAAAGATTGTTTAGGCCATACTTCTCGTGGGTTTGCTCTTCTGTGATCCAGAATCAGCCAAAAGCAAGCTAAAGCCCGCTGTCAGCCGATGTTACAGAGCCACTTCAGGCTCTGGAAGGATCCCAAACAAATTGTCAGGATCCACCCAGCTGTCCGAACAACAGCTGGCTCTGACTCAAAGCACGCAGTTAAGTGCCACAGCCAGCTGCACTCGCCCATTCCCTAACCCTCCAGTGAGCACTGGAGAATCAGAGTGGTAACTGACAGCCACTGCTTCGAGAAGACAGAGCTGAACAATCAGCAGTCACATGATTGCCAAGTTCCTGGTCTTAAAGCTGATGTGGGACAGCTGCAGCCCCATACCAATGCAGCAGCACTGAGTATGTATGTATACATTTTATATAACCTATAAATAATTAGCAGGCAGAGAGTCCTATTCATTAGAAAAAAAATGCATACAAACCTTTTTGACTTTATTTGTACTTCTTGGCCCTCTAGAGACACAATCTGTGTAAAAACTTGCTGGTATCTTTTTAGATATATTAAGGAGTTTTTAAATATATACTTAAAATAAGTTTTGCAGCAAAGAAACTTAAAAAGATGTATAAACATTAAAAAAATAAATTAAAATAAAGTATCCAAAAAAAAACTATTATATTTAAACGCAAAAATAAATCTTGCAGCTTACCATGTCACAGGGGCGATTGCATTTTTGTTCCCCAGGCACAATCCCCCCACCCCTTTCATCTGGTAATACTGCAAATAACATACTTCTAGACTCTGGGTGACGCTCACTCCTCCACTGCATCTATGAAAGAAGCCATGATTGTCAGGCTGGAGTTCAAACACATCTGACTTTGTTCAACTCTGTTGCATGCTAGTTGATGGGATTTGTAGCGTAGAAATGAGGAAAGACTGTCTATTCAGCTCACAGAAAACCACATTTCCGGCAAGATTACCAGGTATTTTCTGCAACTGAAAATGAATGCAGCCACCAATCTAAACACTGTTAAACGGCAAGGGATTCTTAGAAACACTTGGTTGAATATCTTAATACAAATAAAGCATCTCAAGTTTCTATTTACACACATGAAACCCCAATATTGACAGCCATATGCGAAGTGGCATGCTGTTTAAAAGCTTCACAGCTGCAGCCTACTAGAGGCGGCATGCACACTAGGCTTTCTAAATGCCTCACTCTTGACAGTAGAAAGTGTTTATACGTTTTTCAAATGCATTCAGGCATGTCAAGCACTTGGGCATTCATTTCATTGGCCAGAATATTAATGTATTCTGGCCATTGAACTAAATGCTCAAGCAGTAAAAACACACCTAGCGTTTAGGCGCCTTGGGTGTATTTTTCTGCCCAAATGCTCCACTCCTGAACACGATTTTGATGCATTCAGATTCCCCCCCCACCACCACCAAATTTGTATTTAATATATTTGTCAAATGCTTGTAAAATGGGCATTTAGCAGCTGCAGTGCACATGAGGCCTTATGATTCAGTTTCTATCAAGGAAAAAAAAAAGAAAAAAGAAAACTTCCTATGAAACAGTGTGGTGTATATACTAAAGCTGGTTCACTCAGAAGCTCGTGCACTTCTGCATATAAACCAATCAGCTTCCAGTTTTAATGCTAAATCCTAATTGAACAAGCTGAGGTTAGAAGCAGATAGGCTCACTGGGGTTCATTTACGAAGGCTGTTTTTCACTTAGAATCTTGTACAGCTGTGCATGGTAGCCAATCTGCTTCTAACCTCAGCTTGTTCAATTAGGCTTTAGCAATAAAACCTGGAAGCTGATTGGTTTCTATAAGTGCACAAGACTCTGAGTGAACCAGCTTTTGTACATAAACCCCAGTGAACCTAATGGTCTTCAAGTGGAAACATGCCTGAGGCAGCTTCTTAAGCTACGGAGAAGAGAAAAAAAAAAAAAAAAAAAAAAAAAAAAAAAAGAAGGATGACTTGCCTGTAAAGTCCATATCTTGTAGTGACACAGGCAGTGTATTCATACACATTTTATAGGAATGAATCTTCAGGAAAATCAGACAATGACAAAGCGTTTGAGGACATGACCCCTGGGTGTCTCTCCTATAACTACCCCACTCCATGAGTCCTCCGTGTCATAGCAAGCAACACAGAGAAACTGAACAGAGAGTGGTCCATGTCCTGTACTGTACTCAAAGATAGGGATCCCACTCAAGTCTAAATTCCTGTTATCCTATTCACACCAGTACAAAACCACAGGCAGAGTATTCATACACCATGGGAGGTCCCCAAGCAATGAATAAGAAGGGTGGGCAACAATGAGGCAAACATAATTGACAACAGCCCCAAACAAAAAAAAGGTCAGAAGGTGCAATTTCAGGGAGTACCGCAGCAAGAACCTTGCAGAAGATGGACGTCTACCTGATGATAAAACCCTGAAAAAAGTATGAACAGAAAAAAAAAATATGATCAGAAAATCAGGTGGCGGCCTTATACAACTGGGTAACGGGCTTGTTGCCGAAAAGCCCAGATGTCCACACTTGGAATCCCCCATTTTTGGCATATCAGACTGAAGAGATCCAGATGAAGGTCCTATTCTTGTTCTGGGCAGTCGCAGCTAAACTAATCCACTTCCTGTAATATACAAAAAAAAGATGCAGCGCTAGAGCACAAATAAATGAACATATATATACATGTATAAAGTCATGCAAAAGATGTAAAGTGATGCTGTGCACTCACTCAAATATATGCCATTATGCAGTGGCTAATATAACGTGAGGAAAAAAACTGCTGTGTCCACAGATAAGTCCAACGTGAAAACGTGAGCAAGATCTCAATCGATC